GGTCAGACAAGGAATAAGCAGAGAAGTTGAAGAAGTTTCTGGGTTGTATAGTATCAGAGGAATGAAAGGAAAGGAGAGGTTTAAAAGGTGGGGGTGTGCTGGTCAACCTCTTCAAACACAGCAGAGAAGTTGAATTGTTTGAACACTAAGCGAAGACTGTCCCCTCACGATTCCATTGTGTCTGCTTAAGACTCCTGACATCGCACTTATCACATGATATTTTAATTGCTTATTATTCTCCACCACAAGGTAGGGATAATTTGATAGTGTTAATTATTTTATTTCCAGCAATTATCACTAACAAATGAGTGAATGAATGAATAAACATATGAACGAAAATGTCAGTTGTGACAGTTTTAATACAGAGGTGGGTGTGGAAGAAAATTCCATTATCTAAAGTAAATGAGTGGTGGTAAGGAGAGTCAGGGAGATATACCGAGATATATAGTTCTTATTTTGTAAGAAACAAGAAAGAACCCCAAACACATAAATTTTTATAACTGTTGGCTTTAATTGTGGTGATCAAAAAATGAACTGCCGTTGTGTCAGGGAATGTTCTGATTTCAGATGGGTAGGAGAAAGTTCTGCTAAGAATAACATTTCTGTTTATTTTGAGATTGTCTGTTGACCTAGTGGGACTTCAGAGAGATTTAGATGACAAGAAAAGCCTCTGACATGTATCTATGAAAGCTGGATTAAAACAATAATATCCACAATCAACTGTGGTCCAGGGGCTTGTAAACCAGTGCCAGATGGGATGCTCAGAGAATTGGGAACAGTGATCTTTAGGCAGCCAGGTGAGACTAATCTGGAGAAGCTTTAGGAAGGAGATAAATTTACGCTGTTTTGAAAGGGGACTGTTCTAGTCAATTGGCAGAGTCTTCAAGCCCAGGATTAGGTATTTTAATTTGATTACTTGAGGTAATTTGGGGCCACCCCAATGTTCTGAGAAGACGTGGTATAAACATTGTTTGGAAGATGACTCATTTCAGTAGTTCTTAACTCTAGCTACGTATTAGAATTACTTGCAGAGCTCTGAAAAATCCTGGTGCCCATGCTGCACCCCAGAACAATTAAATCTAGAGGCAAGATCTAGCTATCAGTGACTTTTGTTTTTTCGTTTTTAAAGTTCTCTTGATGATCCCAATAAATAGCCAAAAGCAAGAAGCACTGTTCTAAGTGTAGGGAAAATTGCAAGCAAGCAAGAGAGAGACTTGAATTAGAAAGGTTAGCAAGGAGGCTGGAAATTGGAGTCTGACCTAGCTTAGTGAACAGAGATAAAAGGGGTGAGGCTAAATAAAGTATTCTGGAGGAAGGCTTGGCAGGACTTTGTGATGCATGTCAGTGGCAATTTTTCATAAAGCTATATTCCAGGAGCATCACTGCTCTTATTATGATGGATTAGTTGGAAAACGAGCAAGTAACTTGCTTGGCTAAAATTTGGGGCTTGTTCTTTAGTAAAATTCTCAGTTTCTGAAGTAGCAAAGCAGGTCAGAAAAGAAAACACAATCATATTAAAAGTATGGAAGCTTCTGTTTATACTGGAAGGAGGAAATAAAGCCAATGATGGATGCTCTGGAATTAAGAATCAAAATTCAGACTTTAAATTGAGTTATGGTTAGGAGATATCAGGCTGTGATAAAATTATCCCTCTAGAGTAACCTTGAGGGAAATGAAAAGTCAGATCATTAAGGACACTGAAGAGAAGGATTCCCCATCATTTTCAATCAAAACATTCCCCCTTCTGGAACGAAGAAGTTGTAACACATACGGGAAATGGAAGGGTAGTGTCTCAGAAATTATGACCTCTCAGAAAGGTGGGCTGGCAAGCAATGATGAGAGTTCCAATGTTCCTATTAGATCACTTTAAATTTATTCTGGCATGTCCCACCTCTAAAGTTTAGAGGAAGGGCAGAATGTCATAAAGTGGCATATTATTTATAAAAAGTAGTGTTTCATAATATACCCTGTATATGAGTATTTGATAAAATATAGATGCTGAAAGAGAAACTTCACTGACAAGAGAATCCTAAAGAGAAGCAATTGAAGCAATTGTTGGGGAGCAAAATCATTTTTCTGGCTCTGAGGATCAGAGCCAGAAAACTGTGATAAGCCTCCATCTAATAGCTGATGTCATTATTTAGAGCATAAACTTAGGATTGTAAATAAAATATGATTGTTCCTGCTCCCAAGTGCTGGGTCCTTGGTACATGCAGGAATAAGGGAGCTAGCCAGGGCTGGTCCTAGCTGTAAGGCAGCGAGGTCTACATGTGATTTGAGAGGCAGAGACTCCCCTGTCTCTCCCTCCCCAAAACTTCCTCCTATTTGCAGGGAATGAAGGTAGAGTAGGAAGTTAGGACACTGTTTCCAGAAGACCCTTGAGAAAATAAAAGTGCACTATAGGGATCAAAAACACACCCCAAAATGACATTCATCCCCTCCTCCCAGAGGAGCTTCAGGCACTAGCTGGGCAGGAGGGGATGTGGTGAAATTGGGGGTCAGAAGGGAGAAGAGAATAAAAGTTCAGAGGCCTGGGTGGGGTGCAGCAGGAATGAGCCACTGGGTATCCTGTGGGAAGCAAATGAGCCTGGGAAGCAAAGAGATGTCAAAGTTATGTCGAGTCTCTGAAAAGAGAAACCTCCTTCTTCCATTCTACCTCCACCTTGCCTCACTCTTGGGCACACCACCCACTCTACTTCATTTCATCCAGCTGACCTGACGGGGGCAGGCAGCACATGTGCCCAAAGCTACTCTCTTCCCCTTAGTACCTTCAAGTCTCCATAAATGCTTCCAATTTCCCCTCCTCAGGTTTGCTGTTCCAGGAAAGAAGTTTCTCAATTAATACTCTACAAACTCCCCCTGCATGTTGGTTTGCAAAATTAATGATCCTACTGGAAAAGTAAATTAATCTTTGATGCTTGGTTGAGGCTAAGGAGAAAAAAACACTCTTTAGGGAACTAGGCCTTCTTAATACACCTCATCCATAGTATTCGCTCCCTCTCTTTCATGTTAACCAAACTCACAAAGAGGGGGGAACCTACATAGTTTGAAACTCCATCTCTGAGTCCAAAGGACCACGATGCCTCCACTCATTCTGCAAACGTTTACCGTATACTAGCCTGCTTTTGCTGCAGTGTGCAGCACGCCCAAGAGAAGCCAAGAAAAGCTGCATAGAGGTCTCCTGATGGGATATTCCTCACATGTCAAGTTTTATTTGCACTTTCTACAGCCCCTGTTTGAAAGGACTGCAGTAAACGTTTTGTAAAATTTAAATAACATCTTCATAGTTTCTCCAATTTCAGGAAGAACACAACAGCTGTTTCAAAAGCCCCCAATCAGGTCTGACAGTTCACAGACATCTTTTGGGATTAGGTAGATGTCAAAGGAGTTGGAATCCTTGCTGTGTTTTTCTGGCCAGAGTCTCTGCTGCACTGCATTGCTCAGTTCCTTTCAACTGAAAACTTAAATCTGCGCCCCTGTCAAAATGTGTCATCCCAGCCCCGGACACTGCTCACAGTTCACCATACTCTCCGCAGGGTCAGAGGTGAGGTGGCAAGGATGGCCAAGTCGCCCCTTCGGAGGTCTGGGAAGGCCAGATGTTTGGGAGGAGCTGAGCACCTGGTGTCCTGGGGATGTCCAGCAAAGCCGGCTCCGGGAGTTCCACGGGATACTCGGTGCTAGAAGAGCTCATGTCAGTCCACTTCCTCGGGTGCGAATCACACTCCCCGGTTGGGCCTTTGGGAGAAAATTCATGAAGGACACCTCAGCGTTGTAGACGCTGCCAAATACACATCAGAACCAGGGTTGTGTGTGTGAAGGGGAAGGGAGGAGATTCTCCAGAGGCTTTTCTTCGAGTCTGTTTATGCTTCGTGCCCCATGACTGGGTTCTTTGAATGTAAACTCTTGGAAAGGGCAGGGAGGAGCCTCTTTTATGCCCCATGGAGGACCTCGCCTATCAGCAAATGCTGAATGACAGCGGCGATTTCGGCCGGAAGCCCAGGCGCGGATTGGGGGGATTGGGTCTCACCGACCCTCTCGCGGGCGCGGTTGGCGGCCGGCGCCGGGAGACACTGGGAGAGGCCGCCGGGCGCAGGCGGCGCAGTCAGGCCTCGGCGCCGCGGGCGCGGTCTGCGGGCGCTCGGAGGGGGGCTCCACCTGGCCGCCGCGGCGCGGCCGGAGGGGCGGGGCCGGGCTTCGCGGAGGTGGTGACGCCTCCTCGCGCCCGAGCGCGCGCTCCCCGGCGTCCGGCGCACGCGCGAGGCCTGGAGGGAGCGCGCCCCCGGCAGCGGCGGCGCGAGGAGGAGGAGGGGGAAGCGGAGGAGGAGGAGGGCGGCGGAGGGGAGGCTGGCCGAGCGCGCGGTGGCGGCGGCGGCGGCGGGGGCGCCGGCGACCGGAGCCGGGGCGGAGTGGGGAGCGAGGGAGGGGGCGCTTTTGCAATTCCCAACTACGAGCCCCGAGTTTGTAGATGGGGCTGCTCGGCGGCGCCTGCGGCTGAGGGAGAGCAGCAGCGGCGGGCGCAGGGGAGCGGTGGTGGCGCGGAGGCGGCCGAGGTGCGAGCCGGTGAGTTCACTGGGGCCCCCACGCTGCTCGGGTAACGGTCTCGCCGCGCGCCGAGGCGGCCGGGGGCGCCCTGTTGCTCGTCGCCGTGCGCCACGCGGGGACCCCGCCCCGCCCCCTCAGCACCTGGGCTCGGCGCGCGGGGGGCCGGGGCAGCGGAGGCGGCGCGGGTGGGGAGGGCTGCTAGAGCGCCTGACCCGGCCCGGCAGGCGCAGATGGGGCGCGCTTTGCCGGGCCCCTGGCTCCGGGGCTGCGGGCGGGCCGGAGCGCGGCAACGTGTCTGGCCCATGCTGCCCGCCGCCGCGCGGCGCCCGTCTCTCTCCACGCGCTCCCCGGCGCGGCCCCGGCTGGGGCAAGGCTGGGGCAAGGCTGGGGCTGGGGGCGCGCGGGGCCCCCTCCGGGGCCGGGAGCGGTGCGCGGGCGCCTACACTCTCTGCGGCGGGAGTGGCGTTGAAGGCATGAATGGGGAGCCGCGCCGGGGGCGGTAGTTGCTGTGACTGACACCTTCGGGGTCAGTGCCGAGAGGGGGCGATTCAGCCGGCTTCTGGCGTGCTCCCGAGCCCCAAGTTCTTGGGGGACGAGGCTTTCTGCAACGATTGCTGCTACTTCCGAGGCACGAGACTCGTTTGGTCCAAGTGGTTGTGGGCCGAGCACACGTTGCTCCGGAGGTGTTCGCTGCTGAGGCAGTGTTTTCGGATCCTGGGTACATAATCTGGAACCAGAAAGGTACTGGGGCTTTTTTTTTTTTTTTTTTTTTTGGCGGGGTGGAGGGCCAGGAGGGAGTCGATTGAGGGATCATACGGCCGGTATGATGACAGGCTGTGGATTGGTTGGAGGATATATATGTTTTTTTTTTTTTTTCAGAAGGACTTTTTTAACACTTTATTGGGAGTTTTGTCTCCATCTCACCAGCTCCTGGGATTACAGCTGGAGATTACATCCATTAAACTTCATTAGTTGGGGCATGCGTTTATGTAAGGGGGTTGGGGACAGGCGAGGAAGGGAATTAAAGGCTGATTGGGAAGCTCAGAAAATTCTCCGCATTACTTACAAACAGCCTGTTAAGGTCAAGCTAGCCACGTTTTACTCTTTTCTACGCCTTTGGGGATTGTTGGAATTTTACTTTATGCTTCCTGAATTGGTCGTCTTGTAATATGGCTCGGAACATTTGAGGTGTGTTAAAAGGCTCTTAAATTGGAGTATGATTTAGCAGCCATTTCTACCCGTGAAATCTTTCATATCGTCGTTTGGAAACTTTTATGTATGTCGAATATATTAGGCGAGGTAACACTGTGTTATCAATGCGGAGATAGTTGCGGTACATACGTATAACAACAGACCTCAGGTAATATTGCTTATTTTAGGTACCTACTGTGCAGTTATGGTAAGGTATCAGGCCTGATTATAATCATATGTCCTGAGGCCTCATTACAGTAAACAAAGAACTTTTGTGGGTTGTGTCATTTTGAGGTCATTTGTATCTGAAATCTATCATGTATTTAAGTACATGTTTAAAAATATGTTTGCACAACATGTTACTTTTTAAGGTCCATGTTTCTTTTATTTTAGACTAGGGTTACATAATATTCAAATGGTAACACTTTTAATTGTTCTGTTTTGTCCTTTGGGGTTTCACACTAAATATCTTTATGAAAAAACATCCACGAGTGTGTATGTGTGTGTGTCCTTTTCCAATTGATGCTACTCAGTTCCTTTCTCACCTGGAATTTCAAAATGAATTATTTTACAGTCTAGATTAAATAAACACTGGAAAAATTAAGGTGCTTGAGCAAGTCTGGAAGCGCTATATAAGACAGAATCTTTTTTTTTGTTCTTTGAGCCAACTGTTGGATTTTTAAAAAATGAATCCTAATTTTCTTAAACATTTGAGGGAGCAGTTTGCTTTATTTTTCCTGAGTCTCATTTCAGGCTGAAATTGTTCCAGAAGACTACACAGCCTGCTTCTCTCGCTCCTTCCCCTCTCCCCCCCTTTTTAGCTTGGGATAACCAAGACAACCATAATTGTGTTACCTTTTTAAAAGGCTGTTTTTAAAATTGAAGTTGAGTATTTACCATCTTTTTTTAATGTACTTTACCACTTAATTATGGATGGTTAGAAGACAACAGATGTTTTAATTAAACGCCTTTCACATTTTTGACATCCAAGCTTTGTTAAAGGCGAGTAACAGCAAATTATTGCTGAGAGTTGCAAATAATACAGGGTTAGTGCTGGTGAAAGGCTATCCAATTGTAAAAACACCAAGAAAACAAATATTAAAAGAAGCAAGAGAACCATTTGTATATTTGACATCACTTACTGTATTATAAATTATCTAGTTCTAGGTGGTTTTTGAAAGAGTGTTTTGCACTGATAATTTTCTTTTTCAAGGCAATTCATTTGGTAAGTGACCAAATTTGCACCAGAACTCTACTTCAGGTAAATATGGTTAACTTGCGAGGGATGTGCTGATATTTATTTCAGGAAGAGTGAACATCTGCCTGTTTTAGATAAAACAAATACTGGGCTGTCTGAAGATACTGTTTATTCCTTTAAAAATATATACTGAGAAAAAATATGCTAGTTTTATTTTACCTGTAGGTTCTTTCCTTCCAAAAATAGGCTTTACATTTATGAATATCATAAAAGCAGATAAGCATAAAAGATCTCTTTACTGATAGGTTGCTAGTATTGAATTAAAAATTTTATTTCTTTCTTGTAGGGACCAGGTTCTGTATAGTGTATTTTTGGTCAGTCTCACTGAGGCTGCAATGATTTCCCCACTCTTCTTGTTATTTGTCTGTGACCACTAGGGGGAGACTTTATACACTTTAGGTTGACCATATCCCTCCTTTACATACACTGGCTGCTAATCATCCCTGATCACTTTGCCAAACTGATGGAAATGTGTTGAGGAGGATGCACTCGGAATCAAGTCTTGATCAAGGTGTCTAGTGACTTTTATTTTTTTTAACTCACACCACCACTCACAAAGTACCTCTCTTTATAGATTGTGTTATTAACAGTCTACTTTTTGGTCTGTTGTTAAGTGGGCTAACTAAATATCTCACATGATGGAAGATGAGATTCATGACTACATTAGAGCTTTCAAAGTCTGACTTTACTGACATTAATCTTGGTAGCAATGTAGGTTTAATTACATGCTTAGTGTACACAGGTATTAGCTGTCTGGAAAGATCTGGAGAGAGAGGTGTACTATATCTGAACCTCTTCAAACAGATTGGGCTTCTATCTTAAAAAGCTTTCAGAGGAGGAGATACTACAGCATCCCTTGTACCCAGTTTCACCACAAAGGGGAAGTTCTTCCTTTTTCATAATAGCAAAGATAAAATTAAAACTCACAACTTTGTTGATCATTATATTGTGGCTATTCTTAAAGTCAGAAGTCTGGTTTCCACTTTTGGCAATGTCCAGTTCAATAATAGTGAACTCAGTAAACAAAGGATGTTATGTTTATAGTAGCTTAGAAAGAGCTTAAGTTTTATGTTCTTTCATAACTAAGACCTTTGTACATTCTTGATCATAGTAGATAGGATAGAATTTGTAGTTCTTTCTATCATTTTATCATCCTAGATTCTTCTTTTTAAATGGCTTTGCTTGGGGCGCCTGGGTGGCTCAGTCGTTAAGTGTCTGCCTTCGGCTCAGGTCATGATCCCAGGGTTCTGGGATCGAGCCCCACATAGGGCTCCCTGCTCAGCCAGGAGCCTGCTTCTCCCTCTTCCACTCCCCCTGCTTGTGTTCCCTCTCTAGCTGTCTCTCTCTCTGTGTCAAATAAATAAATCTTTAAAAAATAATAATAAATAATAATAAATGGCTTTGCTTTTGTCCTAATTTTTTTTTTTTTTTTAAATGTTCATGGTATACTAGAAATGATATTTTCTGCTTAGGAAATACTCCTTTCTAGCTAACTTCAAGATTGTGTCAAATACTTGGGGATGGTAATTTTTAAAGGCCTGTTTTGTTAAAGTTATCAGTGATGCAAGGCAATATGAGAATTAAAGGTAATATCATGTGTTTTTTGTAAAGCTCAAGTTATTCAAATCCTTTCCACTGCCTACTAGTTCCTATACATGAATTGATCCCTACTTACTTCACCAACTTACATCTTTTCCTCTTAGATCTATTACTCCTTTACCACTTCTTTAACATCCTCCTTGTTCTCTATATTCTATCAGCATTGCCCTTCTTTCTGTCCCTCAGAAATGTCGTGGTTTGTTCCTGACTTAGGACTGTTCACTCTGTCTGGAATTCTCTTCCTAAAACATTACATGACTGGCTCCTTTTTAACATTTCAGGTTTCAGTTCACATATTATCTTCTCAGATAAGCAGTATTCTCTAACCACCCACTTAGAATGACACTAAAATTGTATTTTTATATTATTTTATTATCTGTCTACTCTCACTAGAATGTAAGCCCCATGGAAACAGTAATTGTAGCTCTCTTATTTAACTGTATTTTAAGGACTCAGACCTGTTCCTGGCACACAGCTGTCATTAAATAAATATTCCTTTAAAAAAAAAAAATCTGAGGTTCTGTCCTTCCTCAACTTTTGTTAAAGTGTCCCTGTATGGAATGATATGAGTAGATGGTAGTTGTAGTAAGTAGGCTACTTTTGGCTATAAGTAATAGAAATTCATCTAAGTGATATAAACAAGAGGTAAGATTTATTATAAAGATGCAAGGAGTATCTGATGGAATCCAAAGGTTGGGACTCAGGATTCCATCCAGTACCAGCATGATACACTTCATCTCTTTATTCTCCACATACATTTCCTTCATTTCTTCTCTTGCTGCAGAGGATTACTTCCTAGTCCTCTTAATGGAAAATAAGGCTGCCAGCATCTCTCGGTTTTTTTCAGTACTAGCCCAGACAACAGGAAAGAGATTCATCTAGCACCCATTCCTCCCCTGTTCAACAAACTATGTTGTACTATTAGAACTTGGTGGTATTTGCTGTAACCATGTGAAATGGGATTGGAGAGAAAACCCAAGTAGATGACAGTGATAATTAATGTTCACCCTTGACCACCCTCTAGAAGTTTGGTTTCCCTTCTTTTAAATTTTGCTGGTATATGAAGTTAGAAGATCTGAAAAGCACTGTCCTGGGGATATTAAAAAGAAATGTCCTTTCATGGAAGGAATTTACAGTTTGATTTAGGACAGTAAGATATATACATGAAAGAAAGGAACGATCAAAAATAGCATGATGATAATACAGAAACAGGAAAATATTTGCAACTTGTATTGCAGACAAAAGGTGAATTTCCTTGATATATAATGAATACCTGTAAATTGATAAGAAACCATCCGTAAAGATGGGGAAAAATTATAGACAGATAAATCATAGAAAAGGAAATCCAAGTGGTCCCTAAGCATATATATTCAACCTCACACATAAATATAAATTAAAACTATGAGGTACCATTTTCACAAATTAGAAAGACCAAAAAATAATTTGATAATACTTTTCAGGAGGATAGAGACTAACAGGTGTTCTCTTACATTGCTGGTGGAAATATAAATCAATAGAATTTGATGTGAGTGAAATTTCTGAGAGTACTAAGGTAAATAGAAATACCTGCGAATATGCATAAATTGATGTAGGTGTTTGTGGGAGAGAAAAGAGCTAATGTTCAGCTTAATTATCTGAATACTAACTTGTGTCGCTTTATTTTTAGCTTTAGTCATGAAACAAGCCCAGGCTA